ATGACAATGGCTTGGCCAGGGTCCGAGAGCCCCTCCCTATCGGAGGAAAGAAAAAACAAATCGCTGTGAGATTCCAGGTCAGATAAGGATGTTCTGGTAATAAGAGCCGAAACAAGGGTCGCACTTTGGTCATCCTTTGGTTTTGAACATAGACAGAAACGAAGGGCAGATTATTCAGTACCGCCGTTATCTCTGTATCTGACCGACTTACTGGTTGACTTTGTCAAAGGTCGTCTGTGTGGATCTCTTTTGTTATTTCTCTCGTTGTTGACGCGTCAGAAAATTTAAATCACAAACGGTACTCACGCCGATTGGCGGTAGCGCGAGGGAGGTCTATCTGGGAGAGAGTCGGTGGCTATCATTCCGGTGCCGACTGACGGGTGAGGGTGCACCGGGCTGGTCAGAAGATCCAAACCGCGCGTCAAAAGCTAGAATCCCGAGCGCTCTTCCTTCCATGGCTGCGTCCAGCCCCGTGCCTAATTCTGATCGGGAAAGTGGCTCATGCAGTGTTTCGTGTGAGTCCTGTCGTGAGTGAATTGTGTCCTGGACTGGACAACCGATTTTGAGTGGTCTCACGGAACCGTTCAAATAGCTACCTCCGATGCGGGACCGTTCTCGAGAGTGAGACCACTACTCACTTAATAACCTCGCGGCATCTTCTTTCCTTCGGTGAGTAACTTCCTGTCGTCGTGAGATACATACATATTTTATGGTCTGGACCTTTTGACAACGCTAGGCATGGCTGTGCCACAAAGCTCATCGAAAAATCGTTCCTATTAGAAGAACAACTTGACGTATCGTGACCTGGATTTTACAGTGAAACAACGTCCAGAACAGGATGCGATAGTGAATCCGAACGTGACTGTGTCAGTATTGCTCGGAGATGAATTTTGATGCGGAAGGCTCGCGCTTATCCTGAAAATCGGGTGCGCCGTCCGAATCATTCGATATGCAAAACGGGATTCCTCCGCGAAAAAGAGCATCGAGCGGTCCTCATATCAAGAGGTCCGTTCAATGTCCGCTAATAAGAATTCCCACCTCCCCCGTAACCGCTGGAAGTTTTCGCATTTTTCCCAATCAAGGTTCTCGATGTCCACACGCAACCATGAGAAAAAGCGTCGCGTGTCATGAGAAGTGCTCGAACACCCACTCGTGAAGCGGAATCTTCCTGCCGGTAACGGAAGCGGATACATGAATGGATTTCTCCCATCGAATGGAAGTGTATGCTAAATAGTTTGGCAGCGTTCCGCGTCGCGCTGTTTGTGAATTTCTCATCCCTTGATTTTAGAATTGTCGTTTCCTTCTCGTCACATATCGGTTCGTCACGGACTGTCGGAATTCGGTCGATTTCATCGATCCGCGGTTGCGTCCTTGCAAGCGAAAGTCGGCGACTGCGTTGTCTCTTTTGACTTCGATGTCCAGGATCTTCTAGATCCGTCTTGAGACCAAGCTGATATCCTATGGCCATCCGCGCGCCCTCCGCGGCTTCGACGGAGTTTGGAGGTCAATGACCGACTCCTTCCCTTCTATTTCCTACCGGCGATTCCGGTGGATCCATCATCGTTTTGCGGGAGCTGTCAGCGGCTGAGAACAATCGAAGTCTCCAAGAAAGGGAAATCGAGAGGGAAACTGTCCAAGCATCAGATCAATATTCCTTAGGCAGCGAACTCTTTCGGCACAAGCCATTATTATTGTGAACTCTTCGCGTTTGACCCATTTGTGTATATAGCCCGTTTATCGTCCACTAAAGTCTTCGAGACGGCTCGATCAATCGAAGAGAATCCCATCCAGACTCCGGTTTCGGGGGCGACGATCCAGCAGAAGCTGAGCGCTCCGACGCCCTTCTTCAACAGCTAACCTCTGCAGATAGAAGTCAGTGAATCTCGGTTTGTTGGTCTCGGATTTGAGACCCGTCCCGAATCCTTCAGACTTCAGAGTAGGAGATGACTGCCTTTGCCCATGCGCCAGAGGTTTTTTACAGACAGGATGAATCCGCATCCTCAGAATAAATCGAATGCGCTTGCCACGCTCATCCCGTATCGCGACAACACTGACGGTCTTGGATAAATCCTCGTTATTCGCCAAGTTCGTGTTTCGTACGGAGAAGCCTCGTTCGAGTCGTCACTCGCGTGTCCAGGGCGCCGACGTTACACCACGCGAGCTGGAGGGTGTCGGCTCATTCCTGACGGGAGCTGCCGGATGGTGCACCATGAACTGTTTGATTGTTAGCCATAACTTCGCTGATGAATTGCTTTGAGGATGCCGAGGACACCGGCGCCATGAGCCATTCCCGCCGCTGACAGAATCCCCGATGTGGATAATGCTGCGGTGATCTTGATGGGTGAACAGAATTCACTTTTCCCTGCGTCAAGATCTATTTTCCTTAAATTCTTCTCGGAATGCTCGGTATCGGAGACACCATCGCAACTCCGCGCATAAGATACACACATTCACCGTCTCATCGATCAAAAGAATCGACGCGGACTGGACGCGGGGGCGACGCTGACGGTTTTTCACACCCGATGGGAGAATCCGGGCTGTCAGTCTCCGCAGAATGGACCCGGAGGCGATCGAGTTCCAGTCTCCCGGGGACGAAGGCGTCGGCCCTGCGATCTCTATGATCCACTAGACCTCGGAGGAGATATTGAGCGATTTCGGATGGGAAAATGAGAAGCGAATTCTAAGCTTCCTACAGGATAGGATCTCGTGAGCCTGCAACTAGAGCATCGAGAATCGCTGACTTGATTGCAGCGAAGTGTCACTCATGAGCGGCTGCCCCTGGATTTCCGTATGGAGGCTCCATTCACCCAACGATGGAAATGTCGAATCGCGCCTGAATGCGTCGCGTATACTGGTGAGCGGCGGCGGATTCACGAATTCGCCGCCGCCTGGCTTGATCAGGACCGCCGCCCTGATGCAACCCATCTGAGAACGAATCCCGATTCTTCTCGGCGCTTGCTCCGAGTTTTTAAGATTTATCTTCTATTCCACAAAAATCCTAAGGATCCATCATAGACTTTGGGAATGTCTACGCTTATTCAGTCGATCCCAGAAGAGGAAGAGGGAGTGTTCCTTTCCAAAATAGTTGATCGGGTATTCAAGAAATTATGTCTCGCTGTTCATTTTTGGGGCGGCTCCCCGCCGTTAATCTGGCAGCTTCGAACTCATGGACACAGTTGACGTCCCCGTCTCGGTCTCGAATGATCTCACTGAGAGACTTGTCGAGGATCACAGAAGCTTCAACCGGGATTCCGCCGCCCCCCGAAAACTGCCGCCCCTGTCTATAGCCTACTAAGCCTACTGGGTAAATCCGCTCCTGCCGGTGAGCATGTCGGGAATCGATTCATCATCTCTTCTTCCGGAGGCTCAGCGAGCGGGACTTGTCCTGCGCGGAGACGTTCAAAAACAGATCGAAGCAGTCAAGAACATTTTTTCTTATCATCAGAGCGGACAAACGTCGCTGGTAAGTGGAGCAGTGGCTGGAGGCCATTCCTGGAAGGAACTGTATTGCCGTGATTATGGAATCACCAATGGATTCAGCCATCAATTCACTCGAAATAATCTCACAAGGCTCTTCATTCCGCGTAGCTATGGCTGTGAACTATTCGCGGCGACTTTCGGCAAAATGCGCGGCGTTTGGCGGCCTCCATTCAATCTACATACATGAGGTATCGGAGAAAGTACCGCGAGAATTCGCTTGCCAATCGTGGGGCGCGAATTATTTACAGCCCCACGCACAGTTCATGTGAAACATTGCACTCGAACATTCTTGGATGATTCGCGGTTGGGAGCTTGATTAGCTCTATCATTGAGAGCCGATTCAATCTCAACGCTTGTTCGCTGAGGCCAGATGCGGACCCCCGAAGCGTGAGATACACTGCTCTAAGACCTCTGGAAATCTAGAAGATCAAAGGAGTCATTTGATGTACCGCCAAGGATCTTGGAAAACCCTGTGTAATCCAACCGACTCGACTGCTATCTAATATGACTCCCTACTGTTGGGTGACACGGTTCCTTGTGTACGATATTCTGCGTCATCAGATGAGACGCGTCCGCCTCCCCATTATCTCGGAGACGACATTCCGAGCGAGCTTGGAAGACTGCAATGACACTGTGCGTCGTGTACATGGTTGCTAGCTCCGTGACGGAAAAACTTTTTTTTCGTGGAAATTCGATGATCCTGAAGAGACCCGGCAGCTGTCTTTGCACTGAAAATTGTGAGTTCGCAAGCTGCTCGACTGGGTCGAGGCTTCATCAAGTCGATGACATCAAGGCATCGTCTTATTCTGTCCAATGCAGGAGACTCTCTGATACCTCATCTTCTCTGTCAGAAGGCATGCACGTTTTCTGGAGATGGACACTCGTCCGTCTATTCTCCGGCGAGCCCGGTACGGCGGGGAACTTCCTCCCCAATTTACACATGCATGCGAAAGCAAGAGAGGATACGGTGATTGCTCGACGCAACGGGCTGCGTTTTTTCATGCCCTTCGAAGTCGCTCCAATATCGAGCCGAACTGTCGCCCCAGAGGTCACAACCAGTATCTTGCCCTGCTGCCAACGACCCTTCGATAATAATGACGCCGCATGATAATCGTGCGGATTCCGGTCTGAGTCGGTTCGTGCTCCTGGCGTGTGTCCGTATTGAATCCGATGTCGAGTGATCTTGAGCTTGGACGCTGGATTATTCAAAATCCGTTTTTTCATCCTCCTTCCACATGGGTAGTCCTCCAATGCGCGGGCCTGTGCCTCTGGAGAAAATCTCTATCATCAATTTTTCCCAGTTCCCTGGGATGAACGCCCAACTTCCCATCGTCGCGCACGCGAAAGAAAACGGATATCTTGCTTGACAAATATGTATGTTGGAGGAGGAATATGCGTTGCTTCTGGATATAAGGTGCTTGTCCTTAGGCGACTTTGGGGCTCCGGTCCGAATGCAGTCATTCACCCGAAACCCATCGGCCCGGCTTCTGAATATGCTTAATGTGAGGCTTTCATGATTCATGAGTATACAGAAGAAAATTCTGTCGTATCCTTCAACATTCATCATGATGAACTTGGCTGAAAGTGAGTCATCGATGAGATTTTAATTGCTGCCAATGTAAACATCCGGAGAGAGGACAGAATTCCTGGATCTCGCATGGTTCGTCTCGCGGACCTCACGCTTTGTCTTCGATATAATTTGTCCGCGTCACGATTCCATGGCTACTGTCGCAGCTCCCTCAGACTCACTTGAGAAAACTTATGGAAATAGCATTTTTCATTCGTTGTAGTATACTTTCTGAGGACATCAGAGTTGCATTAGAAAAGAGAAATCATTGATGAATGGTGATCGATGACTAGAATATGTCGCAGGTCAACGAAACTTCCACGCGCCAAAATCTATCATGCGCTCAAAAGGCATCGCGCTAACAAGAGAACTAAACAAAAGTGCGTCGTCCGGGGTCCTGATCGACGACGAGCTCAAAAATGTTGGTCTTTGCGAAAGTTACCCGGAACTGGATTACCTACTGCATGAGTCCGCGGCAATCGCTTCGAACATGGGGACAAATGCAAGACCAGCAAGAAGTGAGGCATATTCAAAGGGCCAATAATGAGCTTTATACAGACATACATCTCTATGGTCACTTAGCGCAGAACTAGGACATACGTAATGATTTGCGCAGTGATTATTGAGACGAATAATTACAATGAAAGATCGACGCTATCCATGACAAATCTTTCCAAATGCCGGAGAGTCTCCATTCATTGACTCGGAAGCCTGGTCTTTCCAGAAATGGAGGCGAAAACGCCGTTCTTGCTGACCATTATGGTTTGCCTGATGAGCCTAAGGCACACGGATGGACATGGTCGTTTACTCGATCCACCATCGAGATCTTCAATGTGGAGGATGGGTTTCAGGACACCGAAGAATTATAATGATAACGAGCTGTTCTGCGGAGGATTAACGGTTAGTGGAGTGCACATCACGGAGAACGAGCGGTGTTCATGACTGTGACATGAAGTGAGGAAATAATCATAAACTATTCCATGATGTGATGATTGAATCGTATTGCTCCCATTCATGACACACAAATACACTCAGAGACAACGGAGAAATGGAATGCGATGCGGGATCTGTGGCGATCCATACGATGCCAGAGCTCCGAGAGCGAATGAAATGGGAGGCAGATACTACAGCGGAATCATCAGTCACCGCTACAATTCAGGAGAAGTAAATTTTCATTCGGTCCATAATACACATTCGATGCTCATTTTCCTGCCGAGCTCATCCTACCCTTACGCTTCGACAAACCCCCTTTAACGATTCCAGGTCATCAAGGCAACTGTCGAACTGACGGCGAACCACAACGGATTCTTCGAGTTCCATATTTGTAATGTGAACGGGAACGCGTCGCTCGAAACTGAGGAATGTTTACAAAAGAACCCTCTTGAGGTGAGAACTCAGTGGGCAAGGAATGGATGGGTTTGCCTCCCCGCTATTCTGAGGGTGGAACAAGCCTGTGGGAACCCAATCTCGATGTGTAACACAATCGTCAGGAGCATAGTCAGGCGGAGTCTCAAATCGGGCCTTTATGGCGTTGTATCCGGAGATTGGACCTCTGCATGTATAATATTGTCAATCCTTGTCCCCATGCGGTCCTTCAATCAGTGACCGAGGAACCAGATCGGCGCCGGCGTTGCCGTTGCGGGGTTCCGGGAGCCACACCGATGAGCATCGTCCCGGCAACCTGATTTCCTGAGCAGGTCAGGACTCTCAAGCACTCGACTCCTCACGTTACGAGCCGTATATTTCACGGAGGAAGTGGCCGGGGAGCTTGGCTTCGCGATGCGAGATCCAAGCACCCCTATGCGATGACGCAGTGAGAGGACAAGAGATACATTTCATCTTCCTTTCCGAGAAAGTCGCATCCAGGGCCGCGAGTCCTCTTCAGTGTGTGATTCCGCTGCGTTTGATGGCAAAATCGGGAAATCGTTCAACGGGGAAACCGACGATCTGCGCATCGTTTCCAGATTGAGCGCCTTCACCGGTAAATCTATGAGTCGCAGACCCTGCATTTCCAAGTGGTTTAAGTATTCGGGACTCCACGTTGTATCCGGTGCGTGTGCGCGAGTAAATCTGAAGCGTTTCGAAGCTGAGGAGGTTCCACGAGGCTCATCGCGGATTTGGAGCGAGCCAGGATATCTCGGACTCCGGCGAGGTTGACCATGACACGGTCGGCTGGGCTCTATTCTATTGGGCCAGAGAGCTTGCGGGCAAGAAAGCATCTGGTTAAAACACCAACTGGGCCGAAACCGCCCGAGTCAATAGCACAACTAGGTAGTCACCGAGCGGGGCAAAAGACGGGACCAAGGCACAAGACTCACCTCGGTAAGTCATGAACACGCCGATCGGTGCGTGTTCTGCAACTTCCAGAAACCTACTGGCGCATGCTCCCAGCCTATGAGAAAGCGGGCATTTTAAGCCTGGCATGGCCCGATCGATTTATACGGTGAGGGAGAAAAATCATGCCGGAATTCGCGGCCTTACGCTTGAAAGCGATGTAAATCACGGCTCTCCTCATGAAGCGCGATGTCGTGCAGAGGTCAAGCCCGAGTCATCAGGGCGGGGTTTCCAATTAAGAACATGACGGTTTCCTTCGAGAATGTTTGGCATTGTCGCGTGCATGCTCATCTTCCAGGTGATCGGAGAGGGACGAGCCGGACGTGGAAATCCCTACAGATATTATGTGCCTCGACCGAGTACTGGAAAATATGAGGCGGCTCTGAAGTTACCGAAGCACTTCGTTTGCGACCATTGTGTTTTTCAGTGGACTTACACAGCAGGTGAGGATAACTCCGGTCGCATGATTCAATGCGTTAGTGATACGTGTTTGTCCCCTCTCCGGTCTCAAAGAAAATCACACCCCCCTCCCCCAATGTGAAAACAATGACTTTCACACGAATTGATTTCAAGGCAATAATTGGGGGACCTGTGAGGACGGCCGGCAGGCTGTGGGTTGCGGGCCCCAGGAGACTTTCCGAGGATGCGCGGACATTGCCATCGTAGGAGAAGCCGTGGTCCAGCAGCCCCCTCTCCATACAGCAAGCTCTAAGCCCATAGCTGCACCCCCTCTCCATGCAGCAAGCTCTAAGCCCATAGCTGCACCCCCTCGTCACTCGCTTCCCGTCCCGCCCTTGAGAGATCCGTGGGCTCATTGGCAAAGCGTCAACGCTTGGCCACAAAGCGTGAATCCTGGTTACCCTGTAGAGAGCAATAGAACCACCTGGTTTTACCATCAGTGGCCGGCCACCGCCTATGTCCCTGCAACCACAACGATGAAGGTTCCCTCAGAGCCGTACGATCTCAAAACACCTTTTTCACACCGCTACTCGACCAGCGATACGAGGAGGTATACGGCCACTGCCGCCCCCTCGTACACTGCTAATAAACACGAGGGAATCCTCAACCATTCGGATTACGCCGGAGATTTGAAGAAACCTCCCCGAGCGACGAATCATCAGAGAATAATCCGGAAGTTCGAAACCCCCTCAAGCAAACCCGCCCTCCCAGATGAAAGCTTGAAGAAATTGCACGGATACGAGGGCTACGCAACGAGCTCTCGTCCTCCACCCGTGTCTTCATACATCCATCGAACTTTGCCGCCAGTGGTTCTCATTGAAAACGTCCAGAACGAGGTATTGACGGATACCTTCGATGCCAATGAGTGAGTATCATATCCAGAAACCTAGTCATATCGAATGCCATTCCTATCAATGTCCATCTTATGAGTAGACCTCGAGGGCCGTCAATGCTTGTCAGAACATGCGAGAGGACCCAAGTCCCGAGAGAGAGTCCTCGGTAGATAGGAAGATTTCCCCTTGACGAGCATCTCGGTTGCACTCAAAAAATCATTCAAAATTCGCAGATCTGCAGCGTCGTCCGGCAAAAGCTCGTGCTCGGCTGCGGGACGATACGTCGATGTGCCGGGGATGACCGACTGGTGTAACCAGAACTGCTTTTTCACACCCGCATTCTGTCCCGAAACACACTGCGCTTGCTCGTAGCAGAGGTCAACGATTTCATCACGAAATAAGGACGAGTCGGGTCTGGATCCAGATGTTTAGCCAGGGCCCAGCGACCAAAACATCGGACAAGTTTTTCCAGAGTCCGTAGTTCGCCTGGTTGAAGCATTCATAATATGAAGCTCCCCAGGAATTTCCACGAGACCGAGTTTTGTCCAAAATATTTATGGGAGTACAACGTAGGAGAAGCAAAGCCTGGGTCGTCTCTCGATATGCGCTGTTGTCCAAGGCTCTCGGAGATTGGGGGATATAGAAATCGCATATGAGTTCGCTTCCCCCGTGGGTCGATCCGACTCTGATTCGATTTGTAGTAAGCAGCTCTGTGGAACCAACATTCCGAGATGACGCCCAGAGATCTCCCTCATCGGTCCCTCATTGGCACAGGCAGACAGGTGCCTAATCGGTACATATTGATAGGTACTAAAGACAGCGGAGAACTTCACCTGGGAACAATGAATCGACGTCGTTCATGGGAGTCATTCGGAGTCCATGAGTCCAGAGACATGCTGGAAACGTTCCGGGGCCGCCCACCCTTCCGCTCCGAGAGTCAGGAGCAAACTTCCAATGTTCGGCGATCCTACGCGGATATAGAAGCGCCCTCAATGTAAGACATGAATATTCTGGAATATGGAATTGGATGTGATCAAGATAAGTTGCAGACGCCATTATTCCGATGTAATATCAGACCGTGATTATTGTTAGAGAGAGAAGGGAAAGACACCCTTATTCGAGGAAGTCAAACTGACTCAAGGACTTCAAGGGTCGACGCTACATTTCACGGCAGGCAACTTTGAGTGAGGATACCCAGAAAGAGCTCGTAGTGGAAAGATCGCCGCTCAGAGTCGAATCGAGCGTCGCGTCGGTCATTCCGAGAAAGCGCACGAGCTCTTTCTCTGCTAATGATTAAATTGCCAACATGCGGCAGCCCCAGGGAAGGAAATCGACGAGAATCTAGATAAGTCGAGAATAGCTGGAAACGGAGGATGTCCTCCTGGGAGATGACGATGCGCAATCGATGCGAGAATGCAGGGACAGTCTGTTTGGGTGCGTCCCGTGATCTAATCAGTCAAAGAGCAGAGCCCATCGTCGGTAATGGATTCGACTACAGTTGGGTTCTCGGGGATCTCCCTCAGTGAAACCCGGGGAACCCTTTTTATCTGAAGTGCCATGCTCTGGGTATTCTGATAAATGAAGCGTCATTCTGGATGGAAACAATTTCTGTGATATACCTACATGCAGATTCATGCTCAGGGAGAGCGTATGTACGCAGAGCCTAGATGACTGCATTTGCAAAGAGCCTTTACGAGGGTCGATGTAGAATGCTCTCAACGCATTAATAATCAGGCGGCTTCGAGAAGGCCTTGCTTCGCACCTCTCGGGGTTCAATAGACCCCCGTCTTCCCAGAGCTGAGCTGTGGTCTTTGTGGGAGCCGTGAGATGCTCTCACGCGGCTCGCAGAGTATGGTAGTGCCTTCCGTCGCCCTTAATTATGATATGATAAGAGTGACCGCAGACCTCGGACTCCAATTTTGAATAGTGTCGGTCTGATATCGCCAATTAGGAGTTGTGGCTGTATGTCCCGCGACGGTGTGCCCCTCTTACTCCGATACGATTCCTCTCTTCCATTAATATTTCCTTCGGCGGAGGATTCCAGTCGACCCTTAATAAAATTATAGGGAGTTGTTGCGTTTTTTTGTCAATTACGAGAGTTTTCCGGGGTTTCCAACGAATTTCGAGTTCTCTTACCGGGACAAGCGCGATTTCAGCGACATTTTACTGCGAAAAATCCGATGTTTAGGTATGGGGCAGTGAAATCCTGTCTGTCGAGCGCGGAAGCGGTTGTGAAGGCAAAACGTTCATCCTCCAGAAGGCCAAGCTCCGGAAAAACTCAAGAAGTTGTTTCAGTTTCTGAACGATAATATCATCAAGTTTGTGCTTGAGTTTGAATCGATCTGAATCTCGGGCACCGAGTAAATGCATCGCTTAGGCTCCACCCCGCTTTTATATATTCGCAAGCATGAGACTCGGAGCTTATAAATTGGACCAAGTAATTGAATCAAGGATCCAGAGGCACCCGTGATGCGGACCTAATCCAAATCATTTGAGTGTGTGGCGGGTAGTTCAAGAGACCGCTCAGGGTCGCCCTCGAGCAGAAATTCATCCGACGCCCCTGCATCGAGCATCCTGGGAGCTACCATTCTTCTTCAGAATGCACTTCGGAGAGGATTTGAGCAACCGACCGGTCGCATCAGGCACGGTTGATGGCTTTGGCAAGCTAGGTGGATATCATGACCATCAGTTCATCTAATAATTAATTCGTAGACGTAGGCGTGACCGTCGAGTCGCCGAGGCAGGGCGCGGCGTTCGTTCCCGCACTTTTGTCGTCTCACTCGTCCCGTAAAATATGATCCCGTGTATTTTGTTCCGTCCGCGAGCTTGTTTCTTCATCGAATTCGCGCGGTCCAAGCATGGAGAACATTTCGGCTCCCATGGTCCGCGACATATCACAGCTAACTAAAGCGATACATAGCCAGTTGTCCCCGATGTGCCATAGCGAACCATCGGCGGTGGTCCGTGATGGACTTTTTCGCGGGCTTCTAGTAATCAGCGGACCACCATTTGCCGTATTTTGGCTGAATCGATCGGGAATCGAAAGCCTTGAGGAGGACCCAAACTTTAGAAAGAGCTTCAACCGCCCTATCTTGCGACTCCCGCCAAAGGCTGCCGCGGGGACTTGGGTCGTTCCGGCTGAAGAGTGATGAGACTCATGAATTTCTGGAATAATACTACCCGCGCGAAAAAAGACGAACGCGTTCAATGGAACGTACATTGGGGTACACGGAAGGTTCGAGCTCTAGGGGTTCCGGGAATAGAAGTTCACGATCCTCCCGATAGTGAAATTATGGTGCTCTCACAATCAAAAGCTTTCTAGCATCGCACAAAGAGTCCAGATTGCTCGTCTACCCCCCACTTCTCACTCGGGAGGATCTAGCGCAGGGGTGTCAGACTTGAATTTGAGGCGGGCTACATACGAGCGCCGCAGGTGCCCGCGGGCCACTTTGAAAATTTCTATCACCTGAACGGAGCCAGTTCGGAAGGAAGCGCCCTCTGGTTGGGATATTTACGGTACATATATTCCGAGCTCTTTTATTTAATCCTATTTCTATGACTTCTATACATCGTCAGCCAGCCGCAATATTGTTTGGTGTTACCGGCTGTCCGACTGATGTGGTTCCTCACCAGCCCTCCGGGCTCGTTAAGCCTATGAAATCTTCAGAGAAGCACAACCACCGTCCGGGAAAGATTTGGTGCATGTCGCGGGAATAAATATAGTCCATCATCGGACATCCGGGACCCATGTATGTTCCGCTGAATGATCGAGCCATCATATCGTGAAGCGAAGGGTTGATAATTAAGTTCATAGCAGCCGAGCCGTGGATGTGTAGCACCTCGAGTCGAGTTAGGATTTTCGGCAAGTTCAGCTTCATTTGTGAAAGACTGCTCGGCAGCTCATTCAGCCATAAGCAGAGCTGCTTGAGCTTCTTGATGCTGCGGAGTGCCCTCCACACAAACGCCGAGTTCATGTCCACCCACTCGGCAGTGAGTTTGAACATTTCAAGACTCTCGCAGTTCTCCACAAATCCACCGAAACCTGTTATGTCGCTCGGGTACCTCAAGCTTAGCCTCACTGTTCGGGCGGTGCGACTGCTGAAGTTTTCGAATGCCGATCCTGCCACATTGATCTCCGTCAGTGTCAACTCCTCCAGGTGCGCCAGTTGCCGCAGATCAGGAGTGTTCTCGCGGAAAAAGCCTCCGGAACAATTCAGACAGTCGCTGAAACGTCGGGAGCTTTGCCTATGGGAGCCGAGGCATACATTGTTGCCCCTGACGATGAGCTTCACAAGCCCCATTTGACTAAACACTTGGGTCAGACGCTCGCACTCAGCTCCGGACCGCGCGGTTCGCAGTAGACAGGCAGAGATGCCTAATGACTTCATCGACTTGCAGGAAGCGAAGAATTCGAGCGGCAATTTCGGGTCGATAGAGCCGTCGCTGTGGAAGTCGATCAAGTCGACCGCCACCAGTGATGAAAGCCTCGGCGTGATCTCCTGAAGGAGCTCGTTCGTTCTCAGAGTGCTCTGGGAGAAGTTGAAACGAATTTCACGCGCTTCGGACCATGATCTCCTTGAGAGATCTCCCAGAGTCTGCTCCCTGCTCAAGGCGATGTGCTGGGTCTGCTGGAGGGCACTTGTGGCGTCGGCGGGGACTTCACCATTCAACCAACCCTTCTGGTAGATGTAGCACTCCTTCTCCTCATTGGCCCAGTCGCTCATGCGTCGATCGAATCTGTCTCCGAAAATCCGTCGCAGAATACACCTCTGGAACAAAGAGCAATTGGACATGCTCACAATGATGACGAGAGTGTTCAGGCTCTCGGGAGTCTGCGCTGGTTGATAAGCGTCGAAGTCCCCATTCAAGTCCGGATGACGTTCCTTTCCGATGGCATTAATGGTCATATTCTCAAGGGACGTACACTTCTCAGTTAGTTTCAGGGTATATGTTAGTGCTTCTTCCGTTGGCGACAATTCGATCTGCAGCTTCTTGATGGACGGGTAGGTCGCAGTGTTCCTTGGCACAGTCTCCGA